TGTGAAAAAAAGAAAAGCACTTAGCTTCCTATATGGACAAAAGAGAGGACCAAGTTCATATACACAAGGCTTATAGCATATAATTATCATTTTTTATGGAGTTTATTTAGGCTTCTAAATTTACACCTGATTCCTTCTCTGTTTCACAGCAAGCAAAGTGCTCACATGACAGGATGTAAGGCCAGAGAAGCAGTATCACATCAGTTGAGAGCCACAGCGTGGTACCTGAGAACTTTAGCCAAAGGTAATAATCTCACTAGCAGTCAGACTGTCTACTAATGCAGTATGAATATGCAGAGAAAGAAACATTAAAGCATGTAATCTATAGTGTGATCCTCTGCACTGAATGATAGGTTGTCAGCCACACAAAAAAAGACTCGAACATCATGAGCTTAGCCCTCAAGGCTGTCACACAAGCAAGGAATGGGTGGGTGCACAGGTAGGTGTCTTATTTTATTGGCTCCACAAAGCTCCACCAGGAAAACCAGTACACTAGTATTTGCTCTAGCTGAGCACAGTGGCAAATGTCTACACTTCAGCACCAACACTGGGAATATTAGCTCCTCACACTAAGCAGGGTCTGAGTATTTCCCAGATTCATTAAACCCCAGAACACAAAAGCCTATTTGGAAAAGAGTATTCCAGAGTATTTTAGGTACTTCCTACTGCAAGAGGAAGGGGACAAACAGGAAGAACTTGTATTCCTCTGGCATTAGTATTTATCCCATTGCTACTTGCCCAGCAATTGCCATGGGGCTGGCCAGCAGTCCTGGGATTCCAGAGCATCTTTATCATGGCCAGGAGGGGAAGAAAGGGACGAGCAGGGGATGTAAAGGTTCTGGGGCCTGAAGACGGGAATCTCAGGTATCTTTCAAATCATCTTTAATTAGTTTGTTTAACTGGTATTATCCTTAATTACTCTTGCTGAGTTCAGAATGACTACTCACCTTCTTTGTGACACAGGCACACTTCAAAAGCTTTGCAAGATCAGGGCCTACCCGGCTAGATTTTGAAAGCTAGAGCCAAGAAGTAGCTGAAAAGATCTCAAAGAGTATTCCTACATGACAGATATATTTATTGAAGCCATTTTCTCTCCAGTCACTGAAGATTGCTATATGCTTGCTGGACCTGATGGTTCAGGCATTTGGCTTGCCTCTGTGCAGTAGTCATGTGCTGGCAAGAGAGGAGACCCGCTCCAGCTTCCCCTTCCCTCAGTTGCAATAACCCTTTACCAAAATTTGCTCTCATATGGAAAGTGGCCATGCAACAAAAGTCACTTTCTAATTCTACCAGACACACAGATGTTCTGAGAGTTGTTGCCCCTGTCAAGCACAGCCTGGGAGTGGTGTGGCAGGAGGGGACCTGGTGGGTGTCAGGGCAGCACCCTTCCAGCCCAGCTGCTCACCTCTCCTGAGAGCCAAAAGAGCCTGCTTAGGGCTATTTTGACTATAAGGTGTAAAGTGGGCCATATGATGGAGGTTTGGGGTTTTTCTATATACACAGCACTAACATCTCCAAGGCTGCCTTGGACCACAGATGCTGATGGTCTGTGGGCTAACAGGTCAAAAATTTCAAAGATATGGGTTCTGTGAGCCTTTCATTGGCTTTCATTGCCCTCCCCTTGCTGGAACCACGACCCAGCTATTGCACAGAAATAATGATGTTCCCCCTGCCGCCTTACACAGATGGACATGTGGAAAGTACTGTTTGTGAGTACTCCAGGCTCTTTAGATGTGGGTTTGTGGCTGAGAGCTCGAGTTACAGAGCAGAGTCAATGTGCAAGGGGCTGTGTGGTTTGGAGAATCTACCTATCTGCCCTGCAGCTCTCTGCAAGAAGAGGTTCATCTCTATTGCAGGCCACACCACCATCTTCCTGTCCAAACTTCAAACCCTCAGACAACCTCCTTTTTGCCCAGACCCCAAAGTCTGTGAGTCCTGTGAGGGTCAAGACCTTGGGATAAGGATTAAACTCAGAACACTGTGATCTGGTGTGACCCTCACCCTTCAGTAGAGGCTATGGCTCTGGTGCATGATACAGAGCTGACTTCTGTGTCCTCAGTTTTCAGCTCCCAAGGAGAGACATTGATTTTCTGGGCAAGGGTTGTATCTCTTTCCACAGGAACAGTGGAGCTGCCCATCCTGGTCAGAGGCCTCTTGCCAAAAAGACCTTGTAATAGGCAGGTGTGGCTCCCCTGTCCCCACACTGATGGCTTAACCTTGTCAAGAGAAAACTTCTTCTATAATCCTTGTGTACCTTGGCTATTGTAATTTTCAATGTTTTCATTAACAGTATAAACTCTAAATTCCTTTAGTGTCTCCAACATACTGGCCCCGGGGCAGACTGTCACCTACACCTTATATTGAGGTCCTACTGGATGCCCACCTCTCCATTTGTTACTCTTTGAGCACTTGGTGTGAGCTCGCTCTGTCTGTGGTGGTGAGAGTCAAGGAAGAAATGTGTTGCTGCAACCCAGCCGAGCACAGGGACACCCAGGAGACAGCTCCTGCCAGAAAGCCTTGATGAAACCACGGGGAAGGGAGACTACAAACTCCCTGGCTTGGCATTACAAGCAGCAGCTGTTCCAGAAAGGTGGAAAGAGAACCCGACCCTTCAGCGCGCCAGCCCGGAGCAGGGCAGGAGGTGAGTCCTTGCCCGACTCCTGCCTGGGGTCTTAGCACCGGGACCACCCCCAGCTACCCGGGGATGACCACGGTCTGTCTCAGACCGAGCCCACAGCCCCACGGCAGCCAGAGGAGACACCTTCCCAACGCAGGGAGCAGACGGGGCACCCCGCCCTGGGCACAGCGCTGGGGAACAGTCCCCAGGAGCCACCCCGCGGCCTCA